TGGGATTAAAGGCGTGTGCCACCACCGCCCGGAGATAAATAAGATTTTTATCCCTTTTAAAGTATCAGAAACTATCAAAAGTTTTAAACATATACTAGTACAAAATCATCTTGGTTGTGAGAACTTAGTGTAGCACTAAGGAATTTAGAGCTAAGGCAATAATCCAACTACAAGAAACAGTTTTTAAATTAGCTTGTGTACTTACTCAGAAACATGACTATTGAGAAAGTATGTAATTCAGGCCTAGATTCATGGAAAGTGTCGAAGACAAGCAATGAAAACGACAGTTATTGTCCTCAGTGCTGATCAGTGTGTCATGAGAATGAACATAAAGAATGATTTGCAGAATGACAGACATGGCAGTCAAGACAAAGTAGCAAAGAGGGGGGACTTCACTGTGCAGAGAAGACCCCTGAGAGCCCAGTAGACCACCCGAGACTTGTCAGACATAACTTACATTGTTTCCAAAAGAAGAAAACTGCAAACGTGGTACTCAATAGAGGTGACAAGGAAAAATACCAATCAAAAGAAGGAGGGGGAGGTATAAAAAAGAAAACACCAACTAAGACTTTCATTATTCTTATTATCTGCTGATCAGTATTTGAAGTACTTTACCCATATATTAACCCAGTTATGGAAACAACAACCTAAGATGTACATGTTCTTAGTATTCCCATTTACTGAAGAAAAATAAAAAGATTTCCCCACAGTAACAAAACTGTCAGTGGAAGAAGCCAGATTCACACCTAGGAGATAGGTGGGTACCACACTTTCTCTCTTGGGTGAGGCTTACCATCTAGTGGTGGGAGCTAATGATCTGTGTATAGGTAAGGTCCTCGGAGGAAAGAGTATAGATAGTAAGGGACACAAGCAAACGGAAAGAAGCAATAAAGAGTTTTAAGCAGATGTGTAGTGGGGCATGCCTAGAATCTCAGTAGTTGGGGTGACTGGAGCAGGAAGATGGTGAATTTGAAACCAGCCTGGGCTATGAAGCAAAAACCTGTCTCAAAACAACATCATAAATATTCATAATGAGGTAGAATAAGGTTCAAGATGTGTCTGAGGAGACTGAGGAGGCAAGACAAAAATCACACAGACATGAGAAGGTAGAGTTGTATAAAATATACATGAACTAATAAAACCTTGGCTGGCAAAAGAAATGTAGTAAATCAGAGAAAACAGCAAGAGGGAGCCATTGGTCCAGTTAAGGGCCCCCCCCCTTCGCCCACCCCAAGTTGGGAAGACCATGATTTAAAGCTATTATTAGAACAAGGATTACTAAGGGTAAAGCGCCAAGGAGGTACTTCATTAGTAGAAAAGATGCTTAGCATAGACAAGGCCCTAGGCTCGCCTGATCCCCAGCAACACTCTCCCATGTTTTTTAAGTAGCAAGGGAGAAAGAACACAGAGTCCAGCTCAGCTTCTGGTGAAATGAGGGAAGCTGCTTTACGTGTGGACGAGAGGCACCGGCATTAAGAGTTCATGTAAGTGACTTCGATTTGCTCTGGGAAATAGAAGATGAAGCCCAAAGAGTGATGGGGAAATTCTAAATTCTGAAACTGTGACTAAATTAAGAGGAAAAGATGTGACATAGCCCAATATCACAGATATAAACCCAGTGTGTAAATTAAGAAATACATATGCGCTATGGTGGGAATGGTGGGGCATGCCTTTAATCCCAGCACTTAGGAAGCAGAGGTGGGTGAAGTTCTGTGATCTCCAGCCCAGCCTTGTCTATAGAGTGAGTTCCATGCCAACCAGGGTTACACAGTGAGAACCTGTGTAAAACAAAAACAGAACCAAAAACAAAACAACAACAAAAAACAAAACAAGCAAATAAACAAAAAACAAAACAAAAGACCAAAAACAAACCAAAACCTCCTCACTAGATATGAGACTGAACCTTTTTTTTTTTTGTAATATGTCTTTGACCATATATATAATTTCTTTTTAAATTGTAATTTATACTCATTCACACAGGGGTTATAAACACAAAAAAGCAGGATGTAGGGAAGGGGATGGCACTGGAGTGTGGATGTTCAGGGGGAATACAGATATTTTTCAGAACAGGGTATTGGCTGGGTGAGGGTTCAGGGGATAGGTCACTATGACTCTGCCTATGATTCACTTGTCCTTATCTAAGTTGGTATTATCTGCCAAGGCTACCTATTTACAAGGTCTATGACTACTCAGGCTAGTAAACTGTCATAAAAACTGCCTGTTTACAATAGCTTATAGCCATCTGTTTCAATGTTTTTCCACAGAGACCCAAGACTTGGTGTTAGTATACATGTATGACAGGCCTATTGCTGATTTTAGGCCTATGGCTGATTTTAGGCCTTCAGTGTGTAAGCAGGATGTCCCTGACATCTCCTCCCTAAGTATAGAAGGGCTGTGACGAATCTAATCCTTCGAAGGCGGGGATAGAGACCTGACCTCCAGTATTTGAAGGGGACCTTGTAATGGCTCTGGTCCCCCTGTTGTTGTCCAGTGAGGCATGAGGGCCATACCCATCCCAATGTCTTTTTCCTGGAGAGGGGATACTTTTGACATCAACCCCTATGCAGAGACTGAACCTTTTAATTAGAGAATTTTTCCTATGGTGCTTGGGAATTAGGTAGAAAGGGATAAAAGGGACAGATGTTATAAAGGATACACGATTTGAAATTTGCTGGGTAAGTATAGCATAGTACCAAAGTAGCCAGACAACATGCTTGTAATTAGAAGGATCTTCCCAAGTCGGGAAAGGATTGAAACCATAGGGGAGACATGAACACGTCAAGGGACAGAAAACACATTACAAGTGAATTGGTTCAGGCGGAAAGGCGAAGGACAAACAGAAATGTAAGCTGCAGTTAAGTTCCACTAGGGCAAGAAACAAGCCTGTCCTGGCTCTTCTTCATCTAGTTATCGTCAACAGTGGTCAGAGACAAGGATACTGTGTTTTTAGACTTGCTTGTTATAACAAAATTAAGACCAATCATGTGAATAGTTACTAAGTATGGAAAGCAGGGTTCCTGAAGTCTACATGATCAAGACCCACTGCGGCTCACTCAATGACTGGGTTAAGTGGCAAAGACTTAAAAAAAAAAGGTGACAGATGATGATAAACAGGAACAGTGGGTGGAACAGGACTCCTGACCCCACACAAGGACATGCTCTCAGAAGGTGGAAAACAAATGCTTTGAACAGCACCGAGAGCTGGGAGAACAATTAACTTCTGCCTCCCAGTCCTGAGACAAAGCAAAAGGAAGGACCTGGAAGAACGAGCAGCCCCTATTTGAAGGTCTGCCAGAGAAGTGGTGTCCTTGGCAATGTGCCAGCTCCCAGTGTAGGCCGGGAGCGGTAAGGAACACTGTGTGATGAGCAGCCCAGGCTCCAGAAGGCAGAGTGAAAGAGGGTGGGAGGAAAGCCGTGGGAAGATGAACCGAGAAGGAAAGAAGGAAAGAACAGAGCCGTATGGGAATGAGATTAGGAAACTTCCAAAGCTGGCCTTTGCTGACAAGGAAGCTAGGGACACCAGAGTCCTAGAAAGATCTGAATCAGAATGTTGGGATCAAACAGTACTGGTGTCAGTAATACTGCTTGAAGCATTCTGGGTCTAAGTGTTAGTACCTTATTAGATACCTTAGAGAAACAGCACATTCTTACCTAGGGAGACCAGTTTTCCATAACTGTCCATCATGACATCTTTATACAGGCTTCTTGGAGCTGGATCCAGATAACCCCACTCCTCCTGGGTAAGAAACAAAGCCATATCCTCAAATGTCAGCAACTGCCTGAATAGTTTTATTTTTGTAGTCAGTTAGTTCCAGGTGTCTGAATGACAATTCCCCCACTGAAAGTGAGAGAAGCTACCACTTACCCATTCACTAGGAGGAACACAGTAAGTAAGAGTATCAAAATGCATGGCATCCCAGACTTGAAAGGACTGATCCAGATCCATGCCTTCCAAACCGATGGTCTTTTCTGCTTTAGTTATTACACGCTAATATCACTACTGTTTTAATTTTAGTTAACAGCCTCAAAACCTCCCCAACCTTTCCTGGCTTCACTGTTCGTCCCAATGTTCTACCCACACCAGCTTATGACCCAATTCGACTCAATTCCATTAGGGTTTCTAAGCACTCATCTTGAGTCCAGACATTGTGCTAGCTGCAGAAGATAGAAGAGATTTTCAAAAGTGCCTTACCTGAGACACTCACAAATGAGAACTAACTTGGAGCAGTCTTAATTTTCCCCAGACGATTTATCAAGTTGCTCGGGGGGGGGGGGGGGGGCCCAGCCTGTGGGCAGTTTGTAAGTGAACTAAAAGCAGCCCGCAGCAAGGGGTACACAGGCGCCGGCAGGAGTCCTTCCTTAGAGTTGTGGGGTTTGGCCAGGAGCCTGGGACAGGGGAAGAAGTGATGGCGCGCGGCCTTGCTGTCTAGGGAGTGGCGAAATAACGGAGATCTCTCTAAGGGGCAACTCACCTTTGGCTCCAGCGGTGGGCTTGGGGACTCCATCGCCTCGTTCAGGAATAGCAGCCACACAACATTGGTGATCTGATGAGGCCTAGATGGCTGCTGGAAATAAGGCCCGGCGAGAAGGGGCTCACTGGATGGGTCTGGTGAGGTCCTGCCTCTGTCTCAGAGCGGTCAAGTTCCCAGGGGCATATCAGACGTTCTGTCTGGCTGTCCTCCAACCCCAAGCCCCGTCCTCTGACGCTCTGCCTTGCCTTTAGGGCCTCCCTGTAAGATCTCCTCCTTGTTGCCAATTCCTCCGCCTCAAAGTCAAGCTGCACTACTACCGACCACCCCCGGACTAGAAGGCGTTACCCGGAGCCTTCGCGGAATCTCTCCAACTACAACTCCCAACATGCCCAGGGAGCTAGCCACAGCCTTCTTCCGTAAATGACGAGAGAACTACATTTCCCTGAGTGCACAGGTTAAGGCGACGTCAGGGACCGCTGAAATAAGCTCTCATTTGATTGGCTGAGTCGGGCACGCCCGCGTGCTGGTGCTTGTGGAAGATGGCGGCGTTATATGTGTGTCGGTTTGCAAGAAGAGGCTGGCTGTGGAAGCTTCCCTTGGCTACACGTAGAGAATTTTGGTCTCGATCCAGGTAAATTTGAGTGTTTCTCAATGGGTTAAGTTCCACGTAAATAATCAGAAGCGGAGGGGACGAGTTCAGAGGGTTAAGATGGGACCGTGGTCCTGAGCCTGCAGGAGTTAGCGTGGAGTAGGGATCCGAGCTAAAATCTTACGTTTCCGCAATTGGCAGGCCAGCTTCTGACGGCAATACGGTCCTCCTTTCCCTCTCGTCTTGTTTCCTTAGCTCAACTGTGTGTATCCCGTTGGGCTCTGTGTGTTTGTGTGTGTGCGTGTGTGTGTGTGTGTGTGTGTGTGTGTGTGTGTGAGTGAGAGGGGCTGGGGAGAGAAGGGGAAGAGAAGCCTGCCCATGGTGAATATGGAATCCCCTTGTCTTAACTGCTTACTTACAGTTTTCCTCACTACATCATGTGGGATCTATGCATATGACCTAGATAATATTTAGGGCATGAAAACTTAACCGCGGGGACCTCAGAGAACAACGAATGTAGTAACCTAGAAGTTTTACTCATCACCTCAGGTATTAACTCTAACCTGTCTCTGGTTAGAGTCAGATGTCCTAAATTCGCTTCTTTTATTCACTCAACAAATGTTTTAGTGTCTACTTATGTGATAAATATTAAAGATACAGTGATCGATTAGACCAAATCTTTATCCTCATAGGAGGGGGCAGTTAATGATAAACTGTGTTCATTTTTTTTCGTTGCCTATCCTTTAAGAAAAGAGATTTCTGCAGTCAGGCTAATTCCATCTTTTTACATCCTTTTTCTTTTCTTCTTTTTTGTTTGTTCTGTTTTGTTTATTGTCAATCATCGTAGCTCTATGTTAGAGTTTTAAATCCTGAAGCATAATTTCTTCCACATTGTTCTTGCTCAAGATTGTTGCCGCTATTCATAATTTAAGATTGCTTTGAAATAATTTAAGATGTCTTTGAAAAATGCCACTCGATGTTTTTGAGTTAAGTATGTAGATTATTTAAGTAGTGCAGACAGAACAGTATTGATTCATTGATCATGGGATACATCTTCATTTATGTGTGTTTTCTGTTTCTTTTATCAGTGTTTTACAGTTTTCAGAGTATAGATCTTTAACCTACTTGGTTGTTTTTTTTTTCCTAAATATTTTTTTCCTGCTATTGTAAACAAACCGGATCTCTTGATCTTTTATTTTTTTTTGGCATGATTTATTACATCTCTAAAGAAACCACTGATTTTATTGAGGATGTATTTTATTTATGTACATATGTGTATTATAAATATATGTGTGCTGATACTCTCTGAGGACAGAAGAGGGCATCAGATCCTCGGGGGCAGGCTTTACAAGAGATTGTGAGCTAGCAACCTGATGTGGCTGCTGAGAACTGCACACTGGAAAAGCAGCAAGTTCTCTTAACTTCTGAGCTCAAAATTCTCCAGCCCTCAACTTCTGACTTTTTTTTTAATGTTAATTTTGTATCCTGCAACTTTACTGTGTTAGTTTTTTAGTTTTAGCAACTTTGTGTGTGTGTGTGTGTGTGTGTGTGTGTGAGTGTGTGTGTGTTTCACAGTCTTTTTGAGATTTTCTTCTCAAAGGCTCATGTCATCTGCAGAAACAGATTCTTTCTAATTTGATTGCCTTTTATTTTTCCTTTCTCAAAGATCTTGAGTAGGCCTTCTAGTATAATGAATTGATTTGCAGAGGTTGAGGCATGATGAATTCAAGGCCAGTGTACTTTACATAGTAAGGACTACTTTTCCCTTCCTCCCACTAAGAAAGTTGTGAGAGTGAACATCCTTGCTTGTACCTGATACTGGAAAGAAAACTGTTTCGTTAGTAAGTTTTGCCCCATTCACTATGATTATAGCTGTAGGTTTTTCTAAATTATGTTTATCTGGTTGTGGTAGATTTTCCACCTATTTTGTTTAGAGCTTTGATTATGGATGAGTGTTAAGCTTTATATTATACTCTCTCTGCTTCTATTGAAGTGATTATGTGATTTTTACTTTCATTCTGTTAATGTGTTATATCACTGTTGATTGATGTGTGTTGAACAAACTTTTTGGGCTAGGCAAGTGTTCTGCTCAGTCATAATATAGTTGTCTTTTTGATGTGTTACTACTGCATCTGGTTTATTTCCATTATTGCATCTATGTTCATCAGAAGTATTGGCTTGTAGCTCTCTTGTGGTATCTTTGACTTTAGTCCTGGTTTCATAAGATGATTTTGCAAGTTTCTTCCCACTTTTGGGGCGAGTTTAAGAAAGGCTGATATTCTCTTTTGAATGTATGGTATAATTATCACATGAAGCTATTTGATCCCTATTTTTCTTGTGATGCTTTTTGCTGTTCTGCTTTTCTTCAGTTGCCTTTATTGCTATTGACTGGTTTAGGCTTTCTATTCTTTCTTGGTTTAGGATTACATGTTCCTAGGATCTTAACTGCTTTTTTAGGTTCTGCAGCATGTACAGGTCCCTCGTGTGACTTTTTGCTTATGAAGAATCTCTTGTATCTCCTTGTATTCTGATTTTAATTACATGGGATTTAAGGTTTTCTGTATTAGCTCTTAGTTTCTTTTTTTTTTAAATGAGATTTGTATCTGCTCTGCTCTTTATTGTTGCTTTTGTTTTGCTAACTTTGGGATTTACATTTTTTTTTTTTTTTAGCTTCATGTGGTTCCTTAAAATTTTTAACTATTGAGTTCCTTAAAATCTTAGTGATGTAGTCATTTATTCACCTTAGTGCAGGGTTTTTTTGTTTTTTGTTTTTTTGTTGTTATGTTTGTTATTGTCTTTGTTAGGGTTTCTATTGTGATAAAATACCATGACCAAAAGCAACTTGAGGAGGAAGGGGTGTTAGAAATCAGTGGCACGGTCCCGAACAAATCACACCATGTAGCAGCTCTCATGTGGGATGTCTACTGGGAGGCGGTCGGAGGCAGCTTCTGGGAGAGGGTGGAAGGAAAGAGAGGGTGGACAGGGAACATGAGGGGGGTGTCTTGGCTCATGTGTGAAGGGATAGATGCAGGAGCTATGTGTCTCATTTCTGGGTCTGAGAGCTAAACTGTAAAGATGACTAATTGCTGTGAAATTGCTTCTAGCTATCGATGGATGCACCTGATGCTAGCAAGGAGTTTATCTTACAGCTTTCGATCAGTTCATCATCTAGAGAAGTCAGGCTAGGATCTCAAAACAGGAACCTGAAGGCAGAAACTATGTAGAGACCATGGAGCAGTGCTGCTTTCTGGTTTGTTCTACCTACTTTCTTATAGCACTCAGGACCACCAGACTAAATGTGACACCACCCAACGTGACCTGGGCACTCCCACATTAATTAATAATCTAGAAAATACCTCAGGCACAGACTTGCCCATGGGCAAGGTTTATGGGAGCCTTTTCTTAAGTGAGATTCCCTTTTCCCAAATGACTCTAGCTATGTCAAGTTGACATAAAAGTAGCCAGCACTGTTATCCAATACATTTTCACCCAACTCAAGATATTGTGTGTGTGTGTGTGTGTGTGTGTGTTGTGTGTGTGTGTGTGTGTGCATATGTGTGGAGGACAGAGGTTAAAGTTGAGTGTCTTCTTCAGTCCTTCCCCACTTTATAGTTTGAGACATGGACTCTCATTGGACTTGGAGCCCATTACTTGATTAGACTGACTAACCAGCCCTGAGACCTCCTCTCTCTGTCTCCCCAGTTCTCTGATTACAGACATGTATACGTTCTGGTAGTTTTCTCTCCTAGATGCTGAGTATTGAACTCAGTTCTCATGTTTGCTTGTTGTCTTAGGGTTTCTATTGATGAGACACTATGAGCACACCAACTCTTATAAAGGAAAGCATTTAATTGGGCTGGCTTGTTTCAGAGGTTCAGTCCATTATCATCGTGCTAGAAAGCATAGCACACAGGCAGACATGATGCTGGTGAGGTAGCTGAGAGTTCTACATCTCTGCAGGCAGCAGGAAAAATAAGAAACACTGGGCCTGGCTTGAGCATTTGAAACCTTAAAGTCCTCCTCCAATGACATACTTCCTCCAACAAGGACACACCACCTAATAGTGCCTGGTGACCAATCGTTCAAATCTGTGGGAGCCATTCCTATCCAAGCCACCACACTTGGCAGGCATTTTCCCCACAAAGCCAAGTCTACAGCCCTTTATCATAACAAGATGATCTTGGAAGTTCCTTTTTTTATTTCCTCTTTGACCCAATGGCATATTGCTTAGTATTAATACATTTGTTATTATTCTTTTTCTCATGTATTACTGATGACTAGCTTTCTCATTTGTGGTCAGTAAGGCTATTTTGTATGATTTTGAACTTCTAAATTCATGAGGCTTCTTTTGTGGTATAATGTAATCGATCCTAAAAAAATGTTCACTATGTGCTTGAGAAATAAAGATGAAAGTGTTTCATGTAAAGGAGGATGTGAAATTGAAAGCTTTGTGTGTGTCCATTTGGTATTCAGTGTTACTAAAGTTCAGCATTTATGCCTGTTCTATGAATAGCCTAAACACTATTTGTTGAATGTGTGTTACTGAGTTCTGTTATTTTGTAATTTATTCTTTCATGCTTGTCCATATTTACTTTGTATATTTCGGTGCTCTGGTATTGGGTACATGTTTATTTATATCCAATTGAATTGATCATTTTATTATTATCTAATGACCCTTCAGAGCTTATTTGGGTTGATGTAAGTGTAGCTATCCCTACTTTGTTTTGCTTTTTATTCCCATAGAATACCCTTTTTCTATCAGTTTTGGTCAATGTAGCCCTTGATTCTAAAAAAAGTTTCTTATAGACAGCATATAGAGTTTGGCTTTTATTTTGATGTTTTGAGCCTTGCCTTTAATGAGTGAGTCATCTCTCTAGCCTTCGCTTTTTAATTTTTAGATACTATCTTTTGGAGTGTTGAGTCTTTTACCTGAATTTCATTTTATTCTGAAAACAATGAAATGTAAGGGAAGGGACTAGAGGACTATGGGAGGTGAGTGAGCAAAAATTCAACAAACAACTTTTTGGAGAACTTTTGATGAAATAGTGATTAGTTTTCTTCAAAATGGAAGCTCTTTCAGTCTATTGTTTACCTTAGTATACTTTAGTAGAGTCTTAGTCCCCTTTCCATTGACATAGCAAAATGACTGAAGGTGGGTGACTTATAAGTAGCATGGCACTGGTATCTGCATTACAGCTGTAGAGGGCCTTCTTGCTACGTCATAACACAGCGGAGGGTAGTATGTGGTGAGACAGCAAGCATGTCTCTGTCATACTACTAATGCTTTTATGGAGTTCCTGATCTCCTTGTCTCATGTCCTCTAATTCTCTATAAAACGACCTATTACAGAGTGTCCAGGACAAGAAATTTTGAGGAATATATTCAGGCCATCACAAGTACTGAGATGTTAATTAAAATTTATGAAGGACAAGTGATTATAGTTGGTGGAACAAAGTCTTAAGTAGACAAAAAAAGTTGTATTCCAAAGCATATTTTTGGCTAGACATTTCATGTCTGGTGCCCTGTTTTCAGTAAGGATGGTCAATTTCAGTCAGATACCAAGTCTGTGAGAAACACATTACAGGTAGTTCTCAAACCAAGGCATTTAAATGTTATGTCAGCCAGATTCTCTTTTAAGTAGTTGTTAAGCTTGTTTTTAAAAGAACCTCAAATTAACAAAATAGGCCATTATATTAAAGATCTTACAGTCTGGTGTGGTGGTTCTCAAGAGACAATGTTGGTAGTATCCTTGGTTGTTGTGACTCAGGACAGGAGTGCCACTGTCATCAAGTAAATTGAAGCCAGCACGCTACTAAATATGTTACAGTCAACAGATTAGCCTCTCATATACAGCAAGAAATTGTCCAATCAAGCTCTGATCTTGTGAGGTAGAATAGATGAAAATTAGAACTTATATAGGATGGGATACAATGTATCCCAGTGTAGACTGCTGCAAAGATCAGAAGAACTTAATATTGATTAGAGAAGTCAGGTTAAAGTTCTTAAGAGACATGTGTTTTGTCTTAGGACTTACAGAGTATTATTTCCATAAGTAAAGATCAAAGTGTCTCATGTAAGGGAGGATGTATAACATGAGCTAACAAGTTTCAGGAAAGTGACAATATGTTTGGAAAACAATATTGTTTAGTTTGAGCAGGCCTATAATGGAAATTGGTAGGAGGTAAATTTAGGTAGGTGTACTGGGGTTAGGTCTTGGAGGATGTGCTGCCTAGTTTTGTGTCAAATTGATACAAGCTAGAATCATGTGAAAGAGCGAGCCTCAACTGAGACAATGTCCCTACCAGACTGGCCTGTGGACAAGACTGCGGTGTATTTTCTTGATTGAAAATTGTGGGACGGTCTGCCTCACTATGGGTGGTACAATCCCCTGGCAGGTGGTTCTAGGTGCTGCAAGAAAGCAGTCAGGGCAAGCCATGGGAATGATGCAGTAAGCAGTACTCTTCCATGAACCAGCTCCTGCTCCAGGTTCCTGCCTTGACACCCTTCAGTGATAGAGTGGGATATGGAACTGTAAGACGAAATTAAACCTTTCCCTCTCCAAGTTGCTTTTGGTTGTGATGTTTTGTCATAGCGATAGAAACCAAACTAAGACAGAGGATAGGACTCCCATACAGAACAATTTATCTTATCTTTGTCCTTTACTTATTTTTCGAATTTGTACTAGTATGTAAATATGTACTAAGTTTTTGCTTCCTTTTGTAGCAGTTGATTCACTGCACATGTCTGAAGAGTAGATTTCCATCTCACTCTTTCCCACTCCTCTCCATTGTGCTTAGAAAGTCCTAAGTGTGCAAAATACTTGATTTTGATTGTAAAGCAAGATTCTGTCACATGTTTATTGGCTTCTGTCAAAGATTTATACGTTTGCTTTTGATCATTCCAGGAAGGAGAAGGAGCTGGTGGTGGCTGAGACAGTGGAAGAAGTGAAAAAAGAACCTGTTTTGGTGTGTCCACCCTTACGAAGTCGAGCATACACACCACCCAATGATCTCCAGAGTCGAGTGGAATCTCATATGAAAGAAGTTCTTGGTTCTTCTCTTCCTAATAATTGGCAAGATATCTCCCTGGATGATGGACATGTGAAGTTCAGACTCTTAGCAGGCTTAGCTGATGACTTAGGCCATGCAGTACCTAACTCCAGGCTTCACCAGATGTGCAGAGTCAGAGATGTTCTTGATTTCTATAATGTTCCTGTTCAAGACAGATCTAAATTTGATGAACTTGTTGCTAGTAATTTACCCCCCAACTTGAAAATCAGTTGGAGTTACTGAGCAGTCCAGTGAGAGAACACATTGAGATCATTCTTATTCTCCTCACTAGGGTGACTGACAAACTTTGTGAGATGTTACCATCAGAACTTGTCTGAAAACTTCCTTTTTGTATACTTTTTTTCTCCTTGTAGAAGATCCATCTTTTTTTTTTTCTCATGGAGAATCAACAAAGAAAACATTTTCACATTTGCTAAAGCTATTTTTCCCCAATAAAATCAAGTCTTGATAATTTATGAAAATGTTCTTATTCTAAGGTATATTGTCAGGATTGTTGAGAGGAACAGAAATGATAGCATGAACACATATTTAAAGGGGATTTATTATGTTAGCTTACATTAGGATCTGGGTACTCCATCAATGGCCATTTCACACCAGAGAGGCTGAGAACCCGGCAGTTGCACCCTTCACAAGGCTGACTGTCTCAGCAGTACCAAGCTGTTGCTGAGGGCCTTGGGGATTCTTTGAAAGGCTTACTTATCTTCAGTTCATGCTGGCCGCCTGAAGAAGCTGGTTCAAATATGAATGAAGAGATGTAGCAATAGCAGGAACAAGATAGATGTACTTGTCAGTAGAATGAAGGCAAGCAGGTGGAAAGCCAGACCTTCCTTCTGCATGTGTTCTGCCCACTTTTACGGTGCACTTCCTTTTGAGAGAGAATCTGATTAAGAAAATCCATCAGTGGAATGGCCAGCTACTTGTCTTTTGGTTGACTCCAGATCAGCCAAGTTGACAACCAAGATTAACCATCACACAAACATACTAAGTAACTTGGGTTTCAGATAGGAGGCCATTGCAAGTTCAGATGTTTTGTTTGCCCTTCATATGGCTAAAGTAGTAGTTTCGATAAAATGTTCTAATCTTATTAAGGCTCAAAGATACGGAGTTATTACATATATGTGTGTGTGTACAAGTAAGAAAATGTATAGTAAGAATTTTGGTGTCTTTAAAAGCCACAGAAATATTGCAAGATTGTTCTCCTTTTAATCCCAGGTGTGGGATATGGGGCTGCTTTAGATTGTCCACAGCAGCTGACTATGATTTGGCTTGTGGTCTAGCAGGGGCGTGATTTTTCCAGTGGCAGATAGTTTCTGTGATTGTGTGAGGTTTGGAGTTCTGGGAATTCTTCAAAGTATGAATGTTAGGGCCCTAAGAGGTGGTGAGCTATTGATTGTTTGCTGTTGGTTGCTGTTTGTTAAGCAGTCATGAACAAAGAAGAAGCAAGAAGAAGAAAATAGATTTCCTGATGCTTGCCCATAGGAACTTGATGCCCCTAATTGGCAGAAAGTCTAATAACATTACCCCCTTTCCCCTCTGTCCTTTCTTTCTGTGCTGTCTAGGGGGTTGAAAGGGTAGAAGAAGAGAGGTAGAGAAGGGTGGAAGAAAAAGAACCCACAAAGTTGCCAAAAGACCAGCTACTGAACAAAATGTATTAGACGTTTGAAGGGAACATGAACATCTGGTACATATTATAGAAAGTTCTACTCTGTTTTACTCCATGAGTAAAGATGGAAGAGAAGACACTGTTTTCTGGGTTCATCTCTTGGGATTTAAGCAAATTTGTTAAAGGTAATGACTTTCTTTCTGAATGAAATTCACTTTTATGTATCACTTTATTATTTCTTTAAAATGAGTATTAGAAATAAAAAGAGTATCTAGCAATTAAGTTTTAAAGTGTTATTGCTAGATTCTACATTTTTTTTCATATTCTTAAAGTATATTTCAAACTGTCTTTTCTGTAGCTTTAGAAGTGGCCTTAGGGCACCTGTGATTAGTTCTGAGGATGGTGCATCTTTTTGTATTTGATGTATTTATTTTGTAGAGATGATTTAAATAAGTTACCAGATAGATCTGAATCACAAAATTGATGATTATATAAAAATTGTCATAGGAAGGATTTAAGGATGGGAAATTACATCTATTCTCTTTCCTTGGATGACTTTGTTGAGTCAGTTGCATATATAAATTAATATATAATTTATATTAATATATAAATGAATCTAGCAGATTCATTAGGAAAAAAAATAGTTGATGCGGAGGAGATGGCTTAGTGGCTAAGAGTGCTTGACCTGTAAGCCGGAGGACCTAGCTTAAACCCCCAGTATCCATGTAAAAAGCTGAGCATGGCCACTTGTACCTGTACCTCCAACCTGTGTCCATGCTCCCGTTCAGTGAGATACATTTTCCCAAGGCAATTAGGTGGAAGTCAGTAGAGAGAAAACTATGTCCTGTTCTGGCCTCGGTGTGCACACAGCTAGGTGTACTCACACTGTCCTAAGTCATAGTACCTAATAGCAGGTACACATCAATGTCATTCTGTCATTCGTTACATTATGAGTTGAAATCTCAGTGTCTGGACCCCTGTAGTTTAGCCATAATGGCTCCTGTTTCTATGAGAAGGAGACTCAGTATAGGAACATTTGGATTGTACATGCAAAATTTGATTATCTTGTTTCCCATACAAGAATGCACTGGAAGTAAAGAGGTGGAAATTCAAAATGGAAAGAAACACTTTTGGCTACAACTGGATAAGCGACTGCAACATTGGCTATTCATGTTATTGTTAAGATAGAAGCTACTCTTTTGTACTCCAGAGCAATGCTGTTGAAAATTTATATGGAAATGAGTCATTTGGAGGTGATGTTAATGTCTGGAGTGATTGTAAATTTCTGCATCTTTATAATATTCAGGAGTAACATGGTCCCAGGGTCATGAAATAACATTAAGAAGCAGCCAAGTACCATTCTGTAAAACAGAGGTTGGCTGCATACCTGTCAGTAACTCTAGAGGGCGTCATTGGTTTACACACAGCTCAATACACTGTTGTAGAATAGTGACCTTACAGTTCCCAAGGGAACAGATTTGTTTGTTTACTGAGGTAGCCAAGCATACATAAAAAGCTTTATATTTTAAAAAACATTATGAAATGTAAAAGGCATAAGCCTTCCACTTTTACGTAGTTGAACCTATGACCTCAATGTGTGATTGGTAAAACCTATCGTTAGCAATTCAAGATAAATGGTCTTACATAAACTTTATGTTTTAAGTTTCGAGTAGCATAAGAGACTCCCTCTCTTGCTGGGTTTTGTTTCACCATGGAAATTTTATGATTTCTGTAGTAACCACACTTTAGAAAATAGAAGATGCATCAAAAATGAGAAAGAAAAAAAATGAGAAAAGATCACTTAAGTATACAGATAATAGTGTAACATTCCAATATATTTCCAAAAGAAAAAATGTATTTTCTGTGCTTTTATTCTACAGATATGTGTTGTATGTGGACATGCTTGCACGTATGTACAGAGACTCATGTTTCATCCAGTTTTTACACAAGTAGTAGTGGTTCTCAGAATTTGAGTGGTGAGCACTTCATTGATTGAGCCATCTCCCCAGCCCTGCTTTTCTGCATCTTAAAACTACTGTGGCATCACGTTGCCAAATTCACACGAGCTCCCCTTAGCTTTAAATCGGGATAAATCCAACCTTTTGATCATCTACAAACACTGTGTTCTGTTCATAGCTATCCTGGGATGAGGGCAGCTTGTAGACTACAGGTTGAGCACACCTGCTATAAATGCTGTGTGGAAACGAGATCTACTGGGGGTGGGATGCTCCTGGGTATTCTATCATTTCTCATTTCATTGCAGACAGAAAGTACAGTATTTCAAAATTGTACATTTATTGAGGCAACTCAGCTCACATCATCTTAAAAATGTTTAAAGTGTGTTCCCACCTGTGTGTACAGATGTGCAGTTGTGTGTACCTTTGATGCCAAAAGAGGGCATCAGATCCTTCAGAGCCGAAGTTGTAGGTATTTGTAGGAAGATCAGCTTGTTATATGGATGCTAGAATCCAAACTATAGTCTTTCTGATTGTACAGGAAACACTCAACCACTGAGTCATCACCCCCAGCCCATAATTTGCTTTTATTATTTTAGTTTTGTAGTATTGAACTTAGGCCTGGAAAGGAATGTTTTTGCAAGTTCAGAGTCCTGAAGTAGCTATATTGATTTTTTTTTTTTAAGTTAGTGGTCAGATAAAACCAAATAGTAGCAGTGGAGTTTTAAACAAACAAGAGGTCAGGGAGATGATTCAGCAGGTGATGGCACTATAGGTCATTGTCCTCTGACCCTTATATGGAGTATGTGTTGCATGTGCATGTGCCAGTGTGCATATACGCATACACACTATGTGTGTACACACGCATATATTGTAATATATTGTATAAAAATCATATTTAAAAACAAAACCTCCTAAAGCAAAGCACAAAGGAAGGAAGAAGGGTGCTAGGTTCCCTACAATGTAAGTTAATATGTAGCTAGAGCAAAAATGGGGACAGGGAGCAGGGCGTATGCTGCTTGCTTTGTAACCCAATGTAAATTGCAATATCAAGAACATTTGAGGCTTTGGTCCTAGGGCAACTGAGACTGTGTCCTTGTCCTTTCCTGCTGGAAAAGCAGCTTCAAGTGGGAAAAGAAATACAGGTTGGTTTATAATCAAAGCTGTTCACTCTGAAGGATTGGAACTATGTTAAAAATCACAATTCCTAAATTGAGAATAAAAATCGGATATTTTTCTCTAGTTTTTAGCACTTGGTACCTCACAAGGACAGATATTCCTTTTGGTTCTTTCATGACCCTAGAGAGCTCTGACGTTCCCATAAGTGTTAGCAGTACAGATGTTACTGGGGACCTGTACTCAGGAAGATGTTTTTGAGGGACATGAAAGACTACCAGAAATCACTTCCCTCTTCTTCATGTCCTAATCTCTTAAGAATAGTTCTCTCTCTTTTTAGCACTTTTCTAGAATATGGTAGACAAAAACCTTTAGTCTGGAACACTAGCTAACCCATACTATTTATGTTTCATTTAAAAGATGATTTTCTTTTAAGGTTAGGATTATGATGCATTAGAATTACAATCTGAAAATACTTCATGAAATGGAAACCTCAATACTGTGCAATTTGGGACTGCTTTCCGGTAGCGAACTATAATCAACCATCAATAGAATAAGAATAAGTATTTTTAAAAAACAAGTAAAAACAATTAGAGTCAGTTTCTTTTGCTTGGATAAACTAGTTGACAAAGAAAATCTAAGAAGAGCCTGATGCTAAGGCAGGATGGAATTCTACAGCTTGGAACAGGGGTGTACTTAATCTTCAGTGACTCACTGGGAAAATTCTTACAGATCAGTTTGACAGAGTTGGAGATACAGATTCCATTCCTTATTGCATTCTTCAGTCCTACATGATTGTAAGTCTTCAAATTCTGGGAGATTGTAACGAGACAAGTATAGAGTCTTATCCTTAGCACATCTCTACTGGCTGATAATTTACATTTATTCATATACACCTCTAAATGTGTGTGTATAAGTATGTGTAAGGAACCACCCCACCCAACCATTCATTGTATTTGTTTTTCATTTCTTCAAGATTTATTTATTCATATGACTACATTGTATCTATCTGTCTTCAGACACACCAGAAGAGGGCATTGGATTCCATTACAGATGGTTGCGAGCCACCATGTGGTTGCTGGGAATTGAACTCAGGACCTCTAGAAGAGGAGTCAGTGCTCTTAACCTCTGAGCCATCTCTCCAGCCTCATTGTATATCTTTTAACCCCTCAAAATAAATCACTTGCTGCTGTGTTATGTCAAAATGAACTTTTGGGGAAGCCTAGATGAGGCACAAATCAAGGTCACCTGTATTGGGGTTCTCTAGAGTCACAGAATTTACAGAATAATATTACAGGCTGCAGTCCAGATAACCCAACAGTGACTGGCTGTGATGGAAAGTTCAAGAATCCAGTAGTTGCTCAGTCCACAAGACTTGATGTCTCATCTGGTCTTTAGCATATGCTAGAATTCCGAAGAAGTAGGTTCTAATACCAGTAAAGAAATGGATGTGCTATCAAGGCAAGGGCAAGCAGGCAAAGAGCAAAAGCTTCTTTTTTCTATGTCCTTACATAAACTTCCAGCAGAAGGTATAGCCCAGATTAAAGATGTGTACTCCTTCCTCAAGAGCCAGGTCAAATGTGTGTATCTTCCAGCCTTGAAGGTCTGGACTAGAACTGTATTCATCCACTTCAAAAGAAGCAAAAAGAATCTCTCACAGGTGAGCCCTCCATTTCTGGATTGTAGCTTATTCCAGATGTAGTCAAGCTAACAAGAATAGCCACCACAAGTCTACCCTTTGTCAACTTCACACAATCATATTTCCTTAAGCCATAATTAATAGCAAAATTATAACAATAACCAGGGATCACAATAACACCTAAACATAATGTAGCTATCTCACATACAATCACAAACGCATTATATATTTAACCAGGTCATAATTACATCTAACATGATATAACTCCCTCATACATTCCAGATGTAGTCAAGTTGACAACCAAGAATAGCCATCACACCTCTCTTCAACCATCCCTTTATTTTTCTCTCATTTTCATTTTTACATTATGTATGTGAGTGTTTTGCCTGCATGAATGTCCATATACCACTTGTGTGCCTCATACTACAGAAGCCAGAAAAGAGCATCAGATTATCCGGAACTAGAGGTACAGACAGTTATGAGTCACCATGTGAGTACTAGGCATCTTCTTCCTCCTAGAAGAACAGCCAGTGTTCCTGATCACAGAGCTGTCTTTTCAGCCCTATAATGCAATCTTAAATACAATTATGTTGAAATTTCTCATCTTGGTATCTGTTTTCCATTCATCTAATTTATCACTTGCTCCTTTATTCCCATACTCCTGCTATGGCAGATTTTATTCCCAAAATACTGCAGATGGCATATGAATGTAAATAGAAAGTGCATGCATATATCCCATACCCTCCTCCCTTTCCCCTACTGCTATGTAACTCACTGTCAAAACAAGTCTCTGCCCTCACCCCTGAATTCTAACAGGGGCTTATGCCTTCTTGACAGATATATAATAGCTGAGATTATAGCTTTCAGCTGTCCATCTCTTGCCCTTCCAGCTATGACATGGAAAACCCAATCAGGCTTATCCAGAAGGACCACAAGGAGGCTCTCATATCCTTGGTGTCCCCCGCTCTGGGCCAGTATTGAGAACAGAACATGTGCAAGAGGGAATCCCAGATGATTTTATTCCCTTGCCTTCGAGACTTCCATTTGAAACAACACACACTGTACCACAGAGACAGTCTCTTTTTGTTGTTGTTGTTTTGTTCTTTTGTTTTACTGAGACAGGATCTCCCTATGTAGCCCAGACTGGCTTTTACTTCCCTCCTGCCTCAGTCTCCCTGGTGCTGGGTACACAGGAAAGGTCATGGTTTCAGAGGAGAGTTGCTGTCAAAGACCAAGTTTGTTATTCCACTTTAGCAGCCCCGTTGCTTTTATTTTTAGATATCTTTATCTCAGGCATTTATCCAAAGTCCAAATTCCAAAGTCTTAGTCTTCTCTCTCCGTTCAGCCTACTTATGTCTGGTTGAGGGGGAGAATAAAAGACAGTTTCCTCAGCTCTGAATTGGATAAGTCTGCATTTTTAAAAACTCTTACATTATCCGCAAAGTTGTCAGAGCCTTGGATTGAGAGTCGCTGAAAAGTCCTGTGCATCTGTGCTGACCTACAGGGCGTCCTTGTCCGGAGCACTTTGCATTTCAGAGGATTGCTGTTTAACTGCTGTAAGTGACTATTAACTTTTCTTTGCAGCTTGCTCTTTTAACGAATTGCCCCGACACCTGGTAGCTCTCAAGTCTCTTAGCTCTTAGCTCAGTGAGCTCTTGTAAGTTCGTGAAGTTATCATTATCTTCCTGCAGAAAATCACATTACTTGAAAAAACAGTGATATAGGAATCCTGTATTTACCGCACTTTCACCTATTTTTCATATTTCGAAGATAAACCTCATGATACAGTTACTTTTATTCTGAACAGGCTACAGATTTTTAATTGTTTCTAAGCTCACGTATGCATCTATGTAAGTGATGACGTTTTTAGAAAGGGTCTTTATATTTACCCAGATAATGAATGTGCTCTTGTTCTTCATCATTTCTTGAAATATTATTTACTGAAAATGTATTTTTCTCCTCTCCATGGAAATGTCTTTCTTTTACCTTCATTTTCGATGTGCATATTTCTTAGGTAAGGCATTTTAAGCATTTTTTTAACTTATTTTTCCTCTTTTCTTTTGAGCACTGTGAATGAGGGATTATTATTGCTTTGTTTATTATCTTTGTGGGAGAGCCAAGTGTCATTTTATGTTCGCTCTCTTCCTCTGTAACATGTCCACTTTTCTCTGGCTATATTAAAATTTGCTCTGTGTGTTAACAGTTTGATTATAATGAGAGCTGGAATTTCTGCTGGGTCTGTCCCCATATTTGTTATACTTCTTGTGACTGTAGCATGATGCTTTTCAGTGAATTGAGAGGAAATTCAGCCCTAGTTTTTATAAGTATTTCCCCTGTCCCTGTCTCTAACATCTCTTTCTAAGGTACCAATTATTAGAGAATCTATGCAGTATACTAAACCATAAATATTGAAATATTTTCCCATGTCTCAAGTTCTCTAATCTTTTATCTTGATTTTCCTCTTCATAGCTTAGTTTGAGCTGTTCTTATGTCTGTTTGGTACCTTTTTATTTGCTGTCTGATAATTCCAATGTCTGGGCTATTTCTCTTTCAATTATAGTGATTCTTTTCTCTTGGATTTGTGAATTTTAAATAACTTTTATGCATCATGATAAAAAATGGATCCTGGATGCATTGTATAAAAACAATATCTGAAAGGGGGAGGGCAGTGATATTGCCTTGTGGGTAGGAGCACCTGCTGCCTAGCCTGACAAGCTGAGTTTCATCTCTGGGGGCACATGATTGAAGGAGAGAGTCACCTCCCATCAGCTGTCATAGAAACTCTCCCCCTCCCTTTCATGCAAACACACACACACACACACACACAGACACAAATGCACATAGACTTGCATATGTACGCATACATACACATACACTCACACACATACCCACACATATACACACCCGCACACACACGATTAATAAACTTAATAAAATGAGGTTTGACCATGTTTTGTTGGGACTTAGGACTAACCAGTGTGACCTGAGCCAAGTGTGAGTTGGATCTGTTTCTCAGAGTTCCATCAAACCAGCCAGCACCCATCAAAAGTATACCTATTATTTTCTATTATGTTTCTTATATCGCTCTGTGACTTCCTTTCTGCTCTTTTGTCTTAAGTAAGTATCAGAGTAGAAGTGAGATTTTCCTGCTTCCTAGGAGTAGCAGTTTGTCACATGCTAGACTTTGATCCATTTAGATCTCTGGCATTCTCAGGAAAGTAAGTTAAAATGAAACTAACACAACAGATAAATAGGTTAAAAATCTGGTGCTGTTGTTTTGGTTGTTAGGAGCAATGGTCACTCTTGTGTTAACATTTAAGGGCAAGATGATCGACAAACATTTCAGCAAGACTTCTGTATGTTTTGAAGATCTTACCTGCTTCTAATTGTGTTTTAGGACTCTATAAATCCTAAACCAAAGCAACAGTTATATTTGTTTTCTATAAGGTGAAACATACAAGTGCCTGTGAAAGACATTAGTGATACCACTCATTCTGAACAGGGAAATATTCAACCAATCAGTGTGTTTTAACCTGACATCTCTCAATTGTGCTTTTGCCAGAGTTGTGTGTGACGCCAGATTGAGATGTCCTCCTTAATGTTCTGACATCATCCATGCAGAGTTCGAGTGCTGTTTAAACATCTCGCATTTGCTAGCATGCTCTCCAGCTTCTAGAAAGCTGTTGAAATCTCTGAGGTATCTTGCATTACCAAATGATCACAGAATATTTGCGACTAATCAATGGAGCATTAAGACTGAATCCTAAGAGGTCTGACTCTGGTCCTTCCATCATTCATTAACCTTATTACAACTTCATTTCATTTCTGTTTCTATTTTGAGGTTTTGGTGAAGATATTCCTGAAGAATTGTCCAAAGTTCCCTCTGCAAAAATGGCCAAGCTGACAGCTGTTCCTCTCAGTGCACTTGTAGATGAGCCCGTGCACATCCGGGTCACAGGCCTGGCCCCCTTTCAGGTGGTGTGCCTTCAGGCATCACTGAAAGATGAGAAGGGAATCCTGTTTAGTTCTCAGGCCTTCTACAGGGCCAGTGAAGTGGGTGAGGTAGATTTAGAGCGTGATTCCTCACTTGGAGGAGACTATATGGGGGTCCACCCCATGGGTCTTTTCTGGTCCTTGAAACCTGAAAAGCTATTGAGTAGATTGGCAAAAAGAGATGTGAATACCCCCCACAAAATCCACCTAAGACTTTGCCATCCATACTTTCCAGTACAAGGCCAAGTTGTCAGTTCTTCATTGGATAGCCTGATTCTGGAAAGGTGGTATATGGCACCTGGTGTCAAAAGAATCCAGGTAAAGGAAGGCCGTATCCGGGGAGCCCTGTTTCTGCCTCCAGGTGAGTAGAATCATTTTGGTTAGGTGTCATCTCTGTTTCTTCTGTGTGGGATGCCTTGTACCTCTAGAAATTCAGCTTGGATATGGGTAATATAGAGTTCTCACTATCCTGCTGAGAAGTCGGGTTAATTTTGTCTCAGAATAAGAAATAGGTGATATTCTACTCTAATTCGAGTTTCATCCCTACATTCTGAAGCTTGTCTGAGGCTATGACTGGTTAGAGTTTGTGGGGTCCCTATATTATGAGGTTTCTGAAGAGTTGGATGTAGATAAAATTTAGTTCATAAAAGGCTGGCTAACTGTAGACTCTAATAAAGCTATTGTCAAAAGATATATCATGTTGACATTCATTTTAAGCTTGTTTAGATCATTTAAATATTTTTATACTCAAGAATCAAAATATACAACACTTCACTGTGTTTCTGCCAAGGAGATAGCACAGTCTTTTGTTTTGCTTTGTTTTGGTTTTTGATTTTTTTTTTGCATTTTTGTTGTTGTTGCTCAGTAGCACATCCATATTAAAAGCATATATATTGGTCCAGGCCTTCTAACTCTGGCTGATATGCTGGTGTCTTATTTGCACTAGGTGTGTTATTTACTATCTCCTGGGACATTGGGTATGTAGAGTCTTTGGCATCAAATGACCTAAAGGAAGGATGAGATATATTTGGCCACAAAAGTTAAAATAGGTATCAAAACATTTCAGGTCTTTTGCTGTTCCCTTCTATCCCACCCATCAGAAGATGCAAACTCATCTTTATTAGTGGACTTACATAGTGGTTTCCAAGATGAGATACATTATTGTGGGTCTCCCTGTCCTCTGGAACCCTCTGCAGATCAACTTTACTTAGGGCAATTGAAGGCTTATAAAGTTTTCTGGTACTGAGGGCAGGGATATTTAGGATGGGCAAAAGTCATTGGCTGGGGGCTTAGGATACATGATATCTCTCATTAGCATGGGGAAGTGTTTCTGGAATCTCAAGTTCTGGTTGAACCGGTTTCGTCAGGAGAAAGAGAATTGATCATATAAACTAATTAAGGTTACCTGACTTCTCTGGATAAGGTCAGAGAAGGAGAAAACCTGCTAATAAGGGAGTCTCCCACTATCCTCCCAGCTCAGAGGCTATACAATCATGGTGGACTTTGACCCTAATTAGCGGAGACTTTGCACGTATTATGTCATCTCATTTCTTTTCTCAAGCTGACACATAGCCTGTTAGAAACTCCTCAGTGCCTTTTCATGTGAAGCCAGTCTCTAAATGGACATAGTTAATCTTCCTTTCCTAAAACCAAGTTCTCAAGACAGAAACATTCATTATTATAATTGTGGTGGGTGGGCTCTGGTTGATTTTAGAAATATCTGCCTGCACAGAGTGAGTATGAACTGATGCTCTGACAGGCCTCCTCTTTCACTGGACCCTCAGCAGCAGGAAAGAGATGAAAAGAAAGAGCTATTCATTTACATCTGTTCACATGGAGATTTTATCAGTTGCTTTCCGAGTGGTTACCACAGTGTAAAAGAGAAGGATGTTTGGCCACTCCCATCAACCCTCCCAACCTCACCCCCCACCCCAGTGCCTGCCATTAGCCTTGAGGCATAGGCACGTAAAGCAAGTGCTCCAAGACTGAGCTACTGAGCTGTATCTCTTACAAGATATTTTAGACAGTGTAATCATTAAAGATACCTTTGACCCATGAACTTCACTTATATAGAGAGAACCTTTGTCTAACTAGGCCCTGTGAGGGTGTACTCTCAGGGACATGATGATCCTCAGCTAGGCCGCCTTAAATGTTCTACTTCCCGTAGTTGCCCTTTGAAGATAGTCTTTGAAGTTGGCCATTGAAGGTATCAATCTATAGCATTTCTCACAGAAAAGCACATGTAAACAGATATAACATATTTTATGTCAAATGTCATGACCTTCAGATTTCCTAAATCTCATTTGTTTACCTTTTATTGTTTAAGAAGTCCTGGCACAATTTGTATGACATTTCTTACTCAGAGCCTGTGGAAATTAGTCCTATTCTGGGTCTTAAGGAGTAAATATATCACTAAAGGTGGTCTCTAATAAAATCCATAGAAGTTATGTTCTGCTACATATTGACCAGTCTTCACGTCACTTTAGACACAAGGCTGAATAGTTGAATGTTCCATTTGAAAATTTATGCATTAATCCCAAGATTTAGTTCTTCTTCTTGTCTTCCTATTCTTGTTGGTGGTATGTGTAACTTTTTGATACCCTGCTTATGCTCTGGGAATGGGCTACGCTACCAGCCCCCACCCAGATTCCCTTGAACCCACGGATAAAAGACACACACACAGTTTGTTCATTTTCAACTTGACTTCTTAACACAATTGCTGGGCTCTACTGGAAAGCATGCCCTTATCATTACTCTTAGCTCCACACCTCCCACCTGCCCTAGATTAGTTGATCAATAATCGAGTCCCTGCTAAGCATCTCTGACCAGCTGCCTATAGGAGCCCACCTCTCCTCCTGAGACCTCACATGGTTCCTGGTTCTTCTCTCTCCAAAGCATGGTGAACTCCCTTCTCTTCACTTGCATCTGTGTCCTTTCTTCCCCAGGGACCCAGAAGTCCCACCTGTACCTACCACACAGTAATTAGCCCATGGCTTTCTTTAATGACTGATCAAGAACAAATTGGGGAACAGGACCTTAGCATCAGAACCACCCCTATAGTTGCCTTCCTGCCTTCTTTTCGAATGTGACTTGTTTTGTGTTGCTCTTTTCCAGGAGAAGGTCCTTTCCCAGGGGTCGTTGACTTGTTTGGAGGTACTGGCGGACTGATTGAGTTCAGGGCCAGTCTCCTGGCCAGTCATGGCTTTGCCACCTTAGCTCTGGCTTACTGGGGCTATGATGACCTGCCCTCTCGACTGGAGAAGGTAGATCTAGAGTATTTTGAAGAAGGTGTAGAGTTTCTTCTGAGACATCCTAAGGTAATTTTAGGCTCATTAGTATGATTTTATTTTTTGTCCCAGTGTTACATTAACTTCAATTCTCTGCAACTTGCATTAACTTTGAAGTGTGATTTCACTAAGGCTGTATTTTTGCTACAAAGAACAGTAGTTTTTATTCTTTCTGATTTGGATATTCCATTTGTATCTATTTGTAACTAATGACTGGGACTCTCTCCAACACAACACACACACACAGACACACACACACACAGAGATTGTGTGTATAAATGTGGATTTATATATGTGTAATAAATACATATGCATATAATAGAGAGTTGTTTGTGTACAGGTTTCTGTATATGGGGGAATTTGTTATCTCTCATGTATGGTTGTGTGTGTGTGTGTGTGTGTAAACACATGTGCACATGCTTGTAGAGACAGAGGTCGACTTTGGGTGTTGTTCTTTAGGAGCCATCCACCTTGTTTTTTGAAGTAGGTTCTCTCACTGCGGCCTGTGGATTACCTATCAGGATAAGCTGGGTGGACAGTGAGCCCCAGAGGTGCTCATGTGTTCATCTCCACAAGGCTGAGGTTACACACAAGCCAGTATGCCTAACTTTCTTTAAAAAGAGGTTCTGGGAATATAATGTATATCCCCATACTTGCATGGCAAACACCTGATTGAGCTCTCTCCACAGCCCCAGAAGTTGCATGTATTTACATCTGTAAACAAACAACTTGTGAACATATTTCCCAGAACCAGAGTCTGAGCCATCTAACTCCAGAGTTCCAGACCATGATAAAAAAAACAAACTGGACCAAAACACAACAACAACAACAACAACAACAACAACAACAACAAACCCACCTTATGTTAGCATTTAGTCTACCATCAGTCACTTGTCTGGGAAATGAGGAGCTCCTAATTCAGAAGAATACATTGATATTTCTGCAATTCCCTGGCCCTATCCTCCAGTGCACAAAACAGCTGTGTTTCAGGCATTAAGTCAACATATCATCGTCTTAAGATGGAGAGAATGGTCAAGAACACAGATTTTGACTGGTTGATTTTGTGTTACTTTGCAGAAGAGAAGAGATCAATAAGTAGAATAGATTGGCCTTATAGCAGACACTAAAAAGATAGGTAACAAAAGACATTAGGCTCAGAGTCATCAAAAAGCATCCCCTGAAAATGGATATATTGCTTTACTACGCCAAATCAGTCATATTAGCCTTAAAATTATGGATAAATGTCTTTCATGGGTGATTAGCACATCTGCTTAACTTAACATATTACTCTTTATTACCTCCCATTTTTTTAATGTGTGAAAATTCAATTTACATCCGTTTCTTCTGAGACTCTTTGATCCAGCTGCTCTGTCTGTATTCATTGTTAGAGTACATGTGATACTTTTATTATCCAGGTGTTGCTCCATGCCCCTCATCTCCAGTCTTCTCATCTGGCTGGTAGTTATCTGATGACCTGATATTATTGCTTTGCCGGGCATGTTTGATGATTGACAAGAAAAAAAGTGTGTTGAGATACTCCTTTTTGAAATTTTCTTATGAGATCGAAGGTTTCTATTCAAGTTCCATGGACTGTCCTAATTTCCCTTCAGTCTCACCCCTCTCTGTAGAAAACCCATTTCTCTGCAGTGAAGTTTGCCCATCACCTGTTCCCTGACTCATGTTATTCACAGTAACACATTCACTCTGTTTATTTTCCTGACTACATTGAATTTTGCTGTTTTTGTTTATTTGCTCTGTGGTGATTGAACCAAGGGCCTACTATATGATATCGAAGAGCTTCACCACAGTCCTGTGTTTCTAGTCCTGGCATGATATTTCTTGAAGGCATTTTAACCACAGAACCAAGCATAATGATGAATCCAACATATCTAGAGTAAAGCCTGATTAGTTAAATATCCTGCATTCCACACCTCTAGCTACTTGACATATATAAGCACCTGGGTGGGTTCTTTAAGTGCTTTTTTTTTAAAGCTGCTTATTATTTTTTCTTGTTTGTCTGAGATTGTGGATTTCCTAATGGAAGAGTATAATCTCATTTTCATTGTTTTCAGGTCCTGGGCCCAGGTGTTGGCATCGTTTCCGTATGCATTGGAGCAGAGATTGGACTTTCTATGGCTATTAACCTAAAACAAATAACAGCCACTGTACTTATAAATGGACCTAATTTTGTTACTAGCAATCCACATGTATATCGCGGTCAGGTCAGCCCACCTGTACCCTGCAAAGAAGAATTTGTAATCACCAATGCCTTCGGACTTGTAGAGTTTTATCGAACCTTCCAGGAAACTGCAGATAAGGATAGCAAATATTGTTTTCCTATTGAAAAAGCTCATGGACATTTCCTTTTTGTGGTGGGAGAAGATGATAAGAATCTCAACAGCAAAGTGCATGCTGATCAAGCCACAGCACAGCTAGTGAAAAGTGGGAAGAAGAATTGGACTCTGTTGTCTTACCCTGGGGCAGGTCACCTGATTGAGCCTCCCTACTCCCCACTGTGCCCAGCCTCAAGGATGCCCTATGTGATCTCAAGCATCCACTGGGGAGGAGAGGTTATCCCACATGCGGCCGCACAGGAGCATTCTTGGAAGGAAATACAGAAATTTCTCAAGCAGCATCTCATTCCAGATTTGAGCAGTCAGCTCTGAGTAGACTTGGTTATATTACTGGAAAGTGGAGCTGGGCATCTCCTGGCCAGCACCACTCCTCACTTCCATAGAGGAATGTCTTTGATCTCTTATTAGATGAGGAAGGAGAGTACCACAAGAAAATACAGGAGGACAGAGAGTGATAACCTCTTGAGTTTGGAAGGGGAAACATGTTTTCCGTGGAATGAAGTGTCACACAGTGAGAATCCTATATCTGTATAAATAAAATCATAGGCCTTTCCTAAAATGTTCAACATCATAGCAACTTTCCGTAATGATAATTATCAAGGAAATTATCAGTAATAATTCACAGAATACTTGGTTTATAAAAGAAACATGAAAAGAATTTTATGTCACTTGCTAATTTCTTAAAACTCACATTAAATATGCTTAGATCATTCTTGTTGGCATTGGAAATCTTAAAATTCACATTAAATATTCCTAGACCGTTCTTGTTGTCATTAGAAATCTAGAAACATGTGTTTTAAGATATTGCTAATGCTTGTTTGTATGCAGGAGGATTGAACCAGTTTACAAACAACAACAACTTAGAAAATGTTAATACAATCACTTCTGCTTCTAAACATTTGCAGCATTTCCACATTCTCTGTAATAGGAGGGGGACACCTTGAGATGTTCCGGAGTGCAGCTAAGGGAAGCACACATGGTAGAGAGAATGGTGGCCCTCTGGATTAGTTCTGGGCACCTTTGTTTGTTTTGTTTTTGAAAAGTACTATTCTGTGAATAACTTCACCTTTGTTGTCTAGGCGGCTCCTGTCCGTGTGCTGCACTCTGCTAGGATAATAGGGAAGTATGAAGATGACATCTGCGTCCCCATCAAACTTCAGTCATAGCTACTGAAATTTACATTTAGTAATCTTGTTTTGAAAACAGTAATTTTCTTTAATTTTTTCCCAGTATGTGCAAATTTAAACCATTGTTAATACATGGGCAGCACAAAATAAACTGCAGGCTCACAGGGCATAATTGCTAGAGCATTCAAAATGGCCATCAGTCTTCTCCAAAGGACAAATCATGGCACAAATATTCCTGAGCTACTAAGTTGCAATGGGTAGAAGTTGAGGGTAACTGATGGTTAACAGGGTTAAGACATATATGTAGATATACACTTCAGATCATTTTTGAAGCATGATGAGGAACTAGTAAAGAATTAGTATAGTAACAACATGAAGACACTTCTCCCATGTCTGCCTGGACTCCTTTACTTTGGTCTGCTTTGTGATATTTTTTTCTGCTTAAATTAAAAAAAAAAACTTATCTATTTAGAGTGAAATAAATTGCTCCCTCTTCTCTCACTGGTTGAAGGGAGAACTTGTCATACATATGTGGTCAATCAAAATACAATTGATTATACTAACCATGTAATTACAATGACAAATACCTCCAGCACCAGTTTTGGGATATAGGAAGAAGGAGATATACCCCTAAATTATGAAGTTTCTCCCACATAAAAAATAATTAATTTTATCTTTTTCAGAATCACTAGAATATAATACAATAGGTCCTTAGATAACAAGATATTGTTCTGTGTAAAATGGCTAGCTACTTTAGAACAGTAACCAGTTCTCTTAATTCCCTTCCAGGCTCCCTCACTGTTTCCAGTCCAGCCCCTTCAAATATATCTCCCAACCATTCCTCCCTCAATTCTCCAACAGTCAGTTTAACCAGTCCCTTCTCTCAGTTTTGCCAATCCTAGCAGCTCCAAATTATAACAACTGTTCTAGCCTATCTGCTCAACTCAACTTCTCCTGGCTCAACTGTCTCCTAATAACAACTTCTGCACCAACGGCCTTCGCTTCTCACTCTGCTATCCCAACCCAATCACAGGCCCGGCTGGCTTTTTTTTCTTTCTTTTCTGTTTTGAAAATTTTATTAGATAGTTTCTTTATTTACATTTCAAATGTTATCCCCTTTCCAGGTCTCCCCTTTGTAAACCCTCTATCCCATCCCTCCTTCCCCTGCTTTTTTTTTTTTTTTTTTTTATTGGATGTTTTATTTACATTTCCTATGTTGTCCCCTTACCCCATCCCCCACCCACCCCGGAACCCCCAATCCCCTCACCCCTCCTCCTTCTTCTCTGTGGTTGTAACCTCTATCTACTCCCCCCCACTCCCACCTCCCCACCCTCAAAATTCCCAC